TTCCGTGATTTTTCGTTTTGCTTTCTTTGAGATTAATTACTTCTTGGATTTCTAATGGTTTTCCGTGATTTTTCGTTAAGATATGAATCAATCTTTTCCTCCTTAATTCTTTCTTGATCAATTCCTTTGTTTTTCCTACTGTGTCTTCCATATGTGGAAGGTAAATTGCAACTTCCAATAATAATAATAATAATAGCCCGCAGTGATACGAGCTGCGGCGCAAAATAAGCGGAGTAATACGTCATCGTTTCCTACACCATTTAGCCGCTTTTAATGTAGCTCGTCGCTGCCGTTCGGCTCGTAGATCTTTCATCGGTCGTTTCCAAATGTGACTTCGGCCCCAACCGTCTTTCATTTCTTCTTCGGTGCAGCCTTCATAGAGAATATATATCCGTCGAGCCAGGTCAACATAATAGTTTTTAATGTGTCGTCTGGCTAGCGAAGACGTATATTTGTCTTGAAGCATTTCTCCTAATTTATACGCTTCGCGTTTATTAAAATCTTCCTTTAGTATGGCTTTGCTTTGCTGCAACCGTTGTATTATTTCCGCATCATTGGCTTCTCCCTTGTGAAACACTTTCTGCCCCTTATGTCCTTTGTAGTCATATGCGGCCTTTCCATCCCAATTCGTCCACCTACTATCATCAGTATTATTACTAGTGCCAATGCTACTACTCTCTCCTCCATTCTCCTCTTTATTCTGGCGTTCCATAGTCTGAATTTGAGGGTGGACGGGGGTCATCACTTCCGTAGTCAGTGATGTTGATGATTGTAAACCGTTTGTCTCTTCGGGAACTATTATTTCCCATGCGAGCGGATCAGTGTCGTTGTCGTTGTCGCCTGTACCAATATTATTTAGTAGGTTTGTCCAGGCGGCTTCCACCATTCCCCAGTCCCAGTCCCAGTCCTCGAAATTAATTGGTGATGTCAGTAAGTTTTCTTCATTTGTCTTCTGCTCCATTTCCTTCCTATCTCCTTCCTCCCCGCTGCCTCCACTGGAGCGCAACGGAAGTATTTCTTGAAACTCCTCTTCTATCATTATTCGGGCTCTCTTGGGCAATATACAATCTTCTGATTCACCATTCGAACGTCCTCGTTTCCTTATATTCTCTAACGGGATATCCTCGCCGATAGATGGGTCTGCTAAGCCATTCGTTGAGTAACCGTTCGAGTGACCAGGCAGCCAGAGAGGTGAATTTTCTTGTTCCACACAAAGTGTAGAGATGGGTTCTTCTGTCGATTCCATGTGTATATTTGCTTCGGTCAAAGTGGGAGAGCAGAGGTATTGGGTCTGATCC